GAAGGCTTGGAACATGGCTTTGATCTGGCCGAGTTTGAGGTACTCGGGGCGGAAGGAGTGGCCCCAGTCGCTGATGCAATGGGCCTCGTCGACGGCCATACGAACGAGATTGCCGTTGGCATGGATCCGTCGAAGCACGGAGCGGAATCGCTCGGTGGCAACGAGCTCGGGCGTGACATACAGCAGCCTCGTTTTCGGACAGGGCGACACAATATCGGCCATGATTTCCGCGCGCGTTTTCGGCGCCAGTGCCGAATGCAGCTCGTGAGCAGGAATATTGCGCTGGTGCAAGAACTTTAGCTGATCCGCCATCAGAGCAATCAACGGGCTGATGACGAGGGTGATGCCACGCGAAACGGTGAGCGCAGGGAACATGTAGCACAGCGATTTGCCAGCGCCGGTCGGCAAGCAGCAGAACACGTCTGCATTGTCAATGATGGCCTTGATAGGTTTGCGCTGGGGCGGCCGCAGCTTGGTCAGGTTGAAGTTGGCTTGCAAGATGCCGACAAGTCCGGCCGCGTCGGAGCTCTTGAGTCGAGTGACGGGTCCTGCGGTCGCACTCGCGAGCATTGCACTGCCATGACTGGTGGCGCCGGATTTCAATCCATCGGTGTTCGGATTGTCAGAGGGAAGGACGACTGGTGCGTATTGGCGCGTATTGGAAGAAGCAGGAGAAGGGCGTTGCATGCTTTGCTCGGCAACTTGATCAGCCCGCGAGCCCGCTTCACGAGCCGAGTGTTTGGCTGGCAACAATGGCACAGTTGCGTCTGTGTGTTTGCTGGTTTGTGCAGCAGCGACGGAGGAGGACGATGATGACGCGCGCTTGACAAAGAAGGTATCAATCGTGCGGCCCTGCGTCGAGGCATTGGGCGTCCCGGTTGAAGATCGCATGGGATGAGAGTGACTGATGGGAGTGCTGGAAGTGCTGGGAGTGCTGGAAGTGCTAGAAGTGCTGGGTTGGCGATGCGGATGCGAGGTGCTCGTTTGGATTGGATTCACTTCCGAATCAATCCACACAATGTCATCGTCGGACATGCGTCGTCGAAAGAAGGAATGGTCAAGGGCCAATACTGTACGATACAGGTGCTGAATGTGACATTGTACGAAGATGTACTAAAACCATATTCATTTTTACATTGACAAAACTCCGCTCTACGCCATAAAAACCAAAGGAGGGATTTCCGTCCAGCGAAAACCCACGCCTTACATTTACACAAATTGATCGCACGACTCGGTGGTGATGCGGTGCAGGAAATGATGCAGCGTGCAGTAGTGCCAGAACGCTGCCAACACGACGCACACGTGCCAGATCTGATGGCTGGCGAAAAAGATGTCAAACCGCCCTCTGAACTTGCTTTCTGGGAACTTGGACACTAGAAGAAGCCAAGGCGGTGCAGTGCGTATGTGGGGGAGCGAGGGGGTGAGACTGATTGGGTTTTCCAGTCACCACGCAGAATCACAAAATCGCAAAATCGCAACCCATCTTACCATAAAAGAATAGCCCAAGCCCATACAGCGCAAGAACACTCCACCAGCGCCAAGTGTTTTCAGACCCAAAGAGGAATGCGCCATGCACCAGTGGGAAGACGGCAAACCCGGCGGTGGCCACGTAGGACGCCACGCGCCATAGTTTAAATTGCGGGGCGTCGAACGCTGGCATCAGTGCCAGGACGCAGCCCGACAGACACAGCAGCAATATTCCGCCTTGGTAGACCATGCGGGCAGTCGGGAAGCAATGGAATGAAAAGTGCAAGCCGGACAAGAACGAGCCGAGAATGAGGGTGAAGACGCCCATGTAGTCGAGCACAATGACCTGATTGTTGCGTCCATCCAAGAAAGAGGAGGAGGAGAAGAAGAAGAAGCTGTGAATACTCTGTTCGAAATTCCAACCTTGTTCAACGATAAAAGAGGGAAACCGACCTTGCGATAGACGGCGAAAGAGTGGCAGCTAAACAGGTGATAAATGGAGCTCAGCAAGAAGCACGCCCCGGCCGACAGGAAGAAGAGTGAAAACGCAATGAGTTGATCCAGCGTCGCGATGGACGAGTAGTAGAGAATCGTGTAGATGCCCAGCGCGACGACGCCGATGGTGGCGACGAGATGTGTCCAGACATTGAAGGTCTGTCAAAAGCACACAGGACCCGAATCGAATGCAATCACAAGTGGGTGAGGCTTCTTTGTACTCTCAGATTCTCAGATGTTCCTGCCAAAGTGACAGGCTTCAAGTACAAACCTCGTTGTGCAAGCGGAAGAGCGACAGCAGGATGGCGCGCGTGTCACTGATCTCGCCACGGTAGCCACGTCTGTGCAGATCAAGTCACAAATAGCAAAGCAAGTCAGCACATCCGCAGTGGTCGAGTCCGAGCGAAGTGACATGTTGGGAAGGGGGTTGGGAGTCGCTCCTCGTGCTCTCGCCGGGACGCAGCTGCCGCACTTCTGCCTCACCCAACAAGCAAACTAGCAAAACAAGCAAAACAAGCAAAACAAGCATACTCGATAAAGTTCTGGCGGAGGAACTGCGGCACCTCATGGCAGCGGCACAGCGGTTTGAATCGGAGTTCGCTCATCATCTTTGCAGAAGCGACTTCGGCTGGTTCTGGCGCTGAGCCCGCTGCATCTGCTGCTGCTGCCACTGATTCTGTAGCTGAAGCAGTTGAATCAGGAACAGTGTCGATGATAAAGCGAGCGCTGTTATTCGTCGACCGAGAGCGTGTTGTGACGACCATCGAAATGGAATTGGCAGAACGACTGAGACGAGCCCGGATTCATTCAGCCGTTGTTTCGTGGTCAGACAAAAAAAAAGGGGGGGGGGGAGCCAAAATCACGACAAAGAGCTCAACAACAGCCGAAGCAAGATCAAAAATGCAATGGACACGAGATTGGCGCAAAATTCTACTTCCATCTGTCCCCGCTGCGAAACTTCTGCGCAGACCGCCAAGGTTCAAGTGCTCTTCCGGAATACATAGATCTAGATTGTTGCCGACACACACACACATAGATTGTTGCCAGCACAACCCCCGTGTTTGAAAAACCAAGCCCAAAAAGTTGCGACGGACTTAATCCCGTCCACCTTGTCGCTTGTCGGTTTGCCGCTTCCCAAACGCCTGTGGTCGCCGTTCCAAGTTGACAAAAAGCGATCGACGCATTGAAGCAGCCCCCTTTCGTCTGGTGGTGCAACGACAGAATCTAATCCAATCAAAGATCCACCAGAATCAACTCGTTCCCCCCTTTAAAAACCAGTTTAGAAGTTTTTTTTTTCAAAGTGAGCTGTCAAACGATTTGACAGTTTCTATTTTGCTCAATCTTTTTTTTTTTTTTTTTTTTTTTTTTGAGCTTGGCTTTTGTCCATTCTCCCACCTCCACGACGCCCTCAAATCTCTCTTCTTGGCTGTGCTCCAGAGCTCCAGAGCCAACGAGGGCACAAAAGCGTCGGACTCCAGGAGGGGAAGCAGCCCCCCAGAACAACAGCAGCATCTCCATCGCCGCTCGCAATTCTCACTGTTGTTCGCTTTGGCGCCCTCTCGTCTTCTCGTCTTCTGACCACCACCACCACCGACAACCCGCTCCTGCCTGACTGCCCCCGTCCTTTTTGCTTGGTGTGGTGAATGGCGACGACGCGGGGTGCGTACCGTGGGCGGTTGCGCATGATCAAGCTGGGCGACTACCAGCTCTTGCAGACCATTGGCACTGGCGCCTTCTCCAAGGTCAAGCAAGCCGTCCACCTGCCCTCTGAAGTCGACGTAAGAAGCAGTCCTCAACACCCTACTCAAATACCTCCACTCAACCACTCAACCGTGCTGGGCTCGCATGCATGGTCGAGGCTTCAGTGTTGTGCTCGTTGATTCAGTGCGTGTGCATGTGTGTGTGTGTGTGAGCGTCGGGCTTAACCCTTTGTGTTCGCTTGTGACTCTTCCCACGTCACGCTGTCTTCCATCCCCTTCCTCTCTGCCATTGCGCACTCGTGCTGGGTGCGAATTGCTGCTGCGCTGCTTGTGCTCACTTGGGTCGCCTGCTTGGGCCTCTCTCGTTCCCGAAGGTTGCGATGAAGATTATCAGCAAGAAGAAAATTGACAGCTCATCCATGGACAAGCTCAGGCGCGAGATGCACATCATTCGGGAGCTGCGGCATCCAAACATCATCCGATTGTTTCACGTTATGGAGACCGAGGAAGAGCTCATCCTCGTCACCGAGTTTGCCAAGAATGGCGAGATTTACGGTACGTGCTTCCCAGCGCTCAATTGCGTCGCAAATCCGTGGCTCTACCCTCGTACTCACCGTGTTTTGGATGATGTGACACATTGCTCCGGATCTTGCATGCGGCTCGTTTTTTTTTTTTTTTTTCTGGGGGCGGGGGCTATTGGCGATTGGGCTTTTTTTCAGACCACATTGTCGAGACTGGAAAACTCACAGAGACGGCTGCACGGAAAAAGTTTACTCAACTCGCATCTGCGGTCGAGTACTGTCACGGACAAGGCATAGTGCATCGCGATCTCAAGGTCGAGAACATGCTCCTTGACGACGATTTTAATGTTAAGCTCGTTGGTGAGTATGACCGCCCGCAAGAAGCGCTTTGTGATTCGAGACCAATCCTCTTGGAATTGGGTTTTTTGGTGCATCCCTACTAACTTTGCAAATTGGATGTGATGATAATCCTCTCCCTCTGCACTGCAGATTTTGGCTTGAGCAACTTTTACTCTCGCGGAAAGTTCTTGTCAACATTTTGTGGGAGCCCTCCGTATGCGGCGCCAGAGCTGTATCAACGGCAGCCATATGAAGGGCCAGAGGTCGATATTTGGGTAAGAATGACTGCAGAATCCCCCCTTTTGCCCGTGTCCGGCTCTTGGTCTTGGTTGATACCAACGTTTGAATTGGATTTTGTTGTCTTGTCTTGTCTTGTCTTGTCTGTCGTTCTTTCTATCACTTGCAGAGTCTTGGCGTCATCTTGTACGTGCTCGTGACTGGAGAACTACCATTCGACTCCACCGACCAGGAGGAGCTTAAGCAGAACATCTTGCAGGCCAAGTACGCGGCTCCAGAAGGCGTCGATCCTGCTTGCGTTGAATTGATCGGCATGATGCTGCAACCGGATCGCGCGCTGCGATGTACCATGGCCGATATTCGAGCCCACAGGTGGATGAACAACAAGGAGGAGGATTTTTACGCAGAAATAGAGGCGGCTGCCTGGGCGGACGAAGACGACGAAATGTGCGCCTTTGCGCTCCGAATACTGACCCAAGTGGGGTATTCTGAGCCAATCATCATCAACTCGCTCGTCATCAACTGCTTGGACGACATTTGTGCATCGTACAACTTTATTCTGGAGCGCCTTCGGCGAATGGACGTGGAAGAATGGCCTGCGTTTGAGGAGTCGTACATTCGTTTGTTTCAGCTGGAACCCGATGCGTCAAAGAATCTTCCTCTCGACCCGTCATCCAACCCTGGGTCTGCTGCCACCACACCCCAGAAGCCAGCGCCTCCTTCGCCATTTCGTCCGGCGCAGGCGTCCGGATCCAACCCGTCGCTGCTCGAGTCTCTTCGGGCCCTCAGCAGCGGTAGCCCCGT